CCCCCCCCGAGGACCCCCCCAGGACCCCCCAGGACCCCCCAGGACCCCCAGACCTCGAGGGTGCAGCGCTTGGCGGGGTTGAGCACCAGGAAGCGGCGCAGGATGTTCTCGCAGTCCGTGGACATGTAGAACGGGACGCGGTACTTCCCCCGCAGCACGCGCTCCCGCAGCTCCTGGGGGACACCTGCGTCACCTGGGCACACCTGGGGGGCTTCTGGGGACACCTGGGGACACCTGGGGGCACCTAGGCACACCTGGGGGCACCTGGGCACACCTGGGGGGCTTCTGGGGACACCTGGGGACACCCCGGGGACACCTGGGGGCAGCTGGGGGACACCTGGGGACACCTGGGGGCAGCTGGGGGACACCTGGGGACACCCTGGGGACACCTGGGAACATCCTGGGGACACCTGGGGATACCTGGGGACACCTGGGGACACCTGGGAACATCCTGGGGACACCTGGGGACACCTGGGGGACACCTGGGGGACACCTGGGGACATCCTGGGGACATCCTGGGGACATCCTGGGGACACCTGGGGACACCCTGGGGACACCCTGGGGACACCCTGGGGGCAGCTGGGGGGCTTCTGGGGACAGCTAACATCACCTGGGGGACACCTGGGGACACACCTGAGGGCACCTGAGACCACCTGGGGGGCTTCTGAGGTCACCTGGGGTCACCTGGAGAAACCTGGGGACACCTGGGGTCACCTGACATCACCTGGGGACACCTGGGGGTCTTCTGCGGTCACCTGGGGTCACCTGGGGTCACCTGGGGTCACTCAGGGTCAGGGGGATTTGGGGTGGGGGGCACAGAGGGGACACAAGGGGGGAGGGGACGCTGTGGTGGCCCTGAGGCTCCTGGAGGTGACAGCAGGGGACAGCAGGTGACAGCAGGTGACCACAGGTGACCACAGGTGACAACAGGTGACCACAACCGTGACTCCTGTCCCTCAGGGGGTGGTGACCACTGGACAGGGGGCTCAGGGTGACCCCAGGGGGCTCAGGGTGACCCCGGGGTGACCCCAGAGTGACCCCAGGGTGTCCCCAGAGTGACCCCAGGGGGTTCAGGGTGACCTCAGGACATTCAGAGTGACCCCAGGGTGACCTCAGGAGATTCAGAGTTACCCCAGGGTGACCTCAGGGTGACCCCAGGGTGACCCCAGGGTGACCTCAGGAGATTCAGAGTGACCCCAGGGTGACCTCAGGGTGACCCCAGGACATTCAGAGTGACCCCAGAGTGACCCCAGGATGTTCAGGGTGACCCCAGGGGGTTCAGGGTGACCCCAGGATGACCCCAGGGGGACCCCAGGATGTTCAGAGTGACCCCAGGGGGTTCAGGGTGACCCCAGGATGTTCAGGGTGACCCCAGGGTGACCCCAGGACATTCAGGGTGACCCCAGGACATTCAGGGTGACCCCAGGATGACCTCAGGGTGACCCCAGGGTGTCCCCTGGACGTTCAGAGTGACCCCAGGGTGACCCCAGGGGATTCAGGGTGACCCCAGGGTGACTCCCAGGTGTCCCCAGAACCGAGTGACCGTCAGGTGGCCGCGGTCACCTTGAGGTTGTGTCCATCGAAGGGCAGCGAGCCGCTGACCAGCGTGTACAGGATGACCCCCAGGCTCCACACGTCCACCTCGGGGGGACCCCAGGGTGACCCCAGGGGGTTCAGGGTGACCCCAGGATGACCCCAGGGTGACCCCAGGATGTTCAGAGTGACCCCAGGGTGTTCAGTCACCTTGAGGTTGTGTCCATCGAAGGGCAGCGAGCCGCTGACCAGCGTGTACAGGATGACCCCCAGGCTCCACACGTCCACCTCGGGCCCGTCGTACTTCTTGCCCTGGAAGAGCTCGGGGGCGGCGTAGGGCGGGGAGCCGCAGAACGTGTCCAGCTTGGAGCCGCGGCAGAACTCGTTACTGAACCCAAAATCCGCGATCTTGATGTTGGCGTCCGCGTCCAGCAGCAGGTTCTCGGCCTGGGGACATGGTGGGGACACCGTGGGGACGTGGGGATATCAATGGGGACATGGTGGGGACACCGTGGGGACACCGTGGGGACATGGTGGGGACGTGGTGGGGACATGGGGATATCAATGGGGACATTGTGGGGACATGGTGGGGACATGGGGACATTGTGGGGACGTGGTGGGGACATGGTGGGGACATCAGTGAGGACATCAGGACGTTGGGGAGGACAGGGACATTGGTGTGGACATGGGGACATCGGTGGGGACATCAGTGGGGACATCAGGACATTGGTGGGGACAGGGACATCGGTAGGGACATGGGGACATCGGTGGGGACATCAGAGGGGACACTGCCAAAGAGACAGGAGGACAGGGACAGGGCCACCAGGACACGGACACCGGGATGGACACAGGGATGGACACCAGGACGGACACACGGACACAGGGACACCGGGACGGACACCGGGACGAACAGACAGATGGACACCAGGACGGACAGACGGACACATGGATGGACACCAGGATGGACACACGGACACCGGGACGGACACACGGACACCGGGATGGACACGGGGACAGTGGGAGAGGGACACCGAGTTGGACACAGGGATGGACACCGGGACGGACAGACGGACACCGGGACGGACACACGGACACCGGGATGGACATGGGGACAGTGGGAGAGGGACACCAAGTTGGACACAGGGATGGACACCAGGACACCGGGATGGACACACAGACACCGGGATGGACAGATGGATGCACACCGGGATGGACACACGGACACCGGGATGGACAGATGGACACACACCGGGATGGACAGATGGATGCACACCGGGATGGACACCAGGACACCAGGATGGACAGATGGATACACACTGGGATGGACACCAGGACACAGGGACGGACAGACGGACACACACCAGGACAGACAGACGGACACAGGGATGGACACCGGGACGGACACCAGGACGGACAGACGGACACCGGGACAAGGACAGACGGACACACACTGGGACGGACAGATGGACACCAGGACGGACAGATGGACACTGGGACAAGGACACCGGGATGGACACACAGACACAGGGACACCGGGACGGACACACAACAGGACGGACACACGGACACCGGGATGGACACGGGGACAGTGGGAGAGGGACACCGAGATGGACACAGGGATGGACACCAGGACACCGGGACGGACACACGGACACCAGGATGGACAGATGGACACACACCGGGATGGACACCAGGACGGACAGATGGATACACACCGGGATGGACAGACACTGGGATGGGCAGATGGATGCACACCGGGATGGACAGACGGACACCGGGATGGACAGATGGACACACACCGGGATGGACACCAGGACGGACAGATGGATACACACCGGGATGGACAGACACTGGGATGGGCAGATGGATGCACACCGGGATGGACAGACGGACACCGGGATGGACAGATGGACACACAGACACAGGGACACCAGGACGGACACCAAGGACACTGGGATGGACAGCAGGATGGACACACGGACACATGGACAGACACACACCAGGATGGACACCAGGACGGACACACAGACACAGGGATGGACACCGGGATGGACAGACGGACACAGGGATGGACACCGGGATGGACAGACGGACACAGGGATGGACACCGGGA